GTTTAGCCTAAGGGGTTTGTATAATGTAAACCATCTGTTCCCCAACAATACAGCTAATTTCCTGCCGTTACCGTACATCTACTGGCTGCTTCTTTAAGGGTTTTTATGATTTTTTAACTAGTTCAGGATTTATGTGAAATTTGAAAATGAGTCTGTAGTTAAGACTCATTTGTACCAAGTAACTTGAGCATTTAAAAAATGCAAATCACTGTGTAAATCGTTCCCCTGAAACCCAGCTCTGAGCCGGCTTTTTCTGGGCACGTCCATGCCGGCTGCAGCACAGGTGTTTGCAGGGAAGAGTCTGTGAAATCTGCCATGTTCGTTGCTTTCTGTGCTTCTTTCCAAAGCACACCCCCACATGTGGCTCTGACTAGCTCCGGCGAACCCCTCCTCCTCCCTGTTACAGGCTGGAGCAGAGCTGACACCCTGTGCTCGGTGACCCACCAGGTATTGGTAAGATATGGCAAGACACACTTCGGGTCGAAATGGACTCTCTTGAGTGTCTGAACAGGGAGGCAGAACCATTCTAACTCCACCGCGTGACCACACACTGAAGGCTGGCCCCACAGCCCCGCACGGTGTCAGGCCCCAGGCCCAGCCCTCAGAGACCTGCCGAGGCCACGGGGATTCCCGGCCAGCAGGCTTCTCTGGTTTCAGACAGAATGGCGGGGCCCAAAGCAGAAGGCCTTGCACGCACGAGTGTAGCTCTTTTGGGTCCTGCAGAGTCTTGATACTCCTGAAAGCCTCTTTCTTCACCTGTAAAATGGCTCATTTGCCACCTGCGTGTAGGGGACTGTGGGCAGGCTTCTTAGTCATGAAGCCGCAGGAGCCACGTGTCCAGCTGGTGCTGCCGTCCTGTCCTCTTCTCTTCCAAGCCCCCGAAGTTTGGCTTGCTCGCTCCCTTTCCCCATCTGCCACCATCCGCTCTGCCACACGGGCTCTTGTCCCTCCATCTTCATCACCCATCCTCAGGCTCCAAATATAGTCTCTGTCATTTTTTTAAAGACTTTTTTTTTTTTTAAGAACACTAACAACTATAGGACAACAGAGAAATATTAACAAGAGGAAACTTATCATATATTATTTTAATAGAAGACATTATAGAAGACTGTCTAGAAATCATTTGTCGTTATTCCACTTCTTAGATGACTTCCCTAATAAGAAAAGTAAGATTGATTTAAAGAGAACTTAATAGGTGAAGTTGCTTTCATACATTGTTGCATCTAATCCCTATTGTAACCATGGAAGCTAGATGTTATATTATTTCATAGCTATGAAATAGAGGTTCAGAAAAGTTAAGAAACTCACCCATGGCCAACCAGCTAATATATAGGGCCTACGCCACAGGACTGTTGTATTAAATGAGTTAATATTTGTTCAGTGCTTAGAACAGTGTCTGGCGCATAGTCCATGCTGTATGAGTATTAATAGAAAGCAACAAGTCCAAGATGCAAATTCCAATTTGTATGAGCCCAAAGTCACATGAGTTGAATTACACCACCCTGCCCATGGGTTAATTTCAGCAGCGGCAGGAGGAAGGAGGAGTTCTAATTCCTCATTATATCAGTCTACTATTCCTTGGGTTTAGTTCCTAATTCCCATTTTCCCTCAAAAGAAGTGTATTATTCAGTCCCTTGTTCCTCTCTACCACCAAAAGCCAGAGGATCCTGTTTAGATAAAAAAAAAAAAAAAAAAAAAAAAAGTAACACTTTCTATGCCATTCCAGGGACCTTCCCATAAATTGGATTCAGTTGCATCATTAGGAAACGTTCTGATGGAAATCTCAGTCTTAATGTCCTGCAGGAAAACACCCCTTTGGCTCAGTCTTGTCACAAAAGCAAAGTCATCTGAGTGCAGCAAGAGAAAACAGTAGGGTTGGTTCAGTGAGTTCCTTTTCCCATCCCCCACATGCTATTCTCCCAAAGGAACTCCATAGCGCCCACAAGAACCCAGCCCCTATAAGCAAAATGGAAAATAGTGGATGGGCCTGTGATTGCAGAAGAAATTATCTGATTCAATCTGATGGAAAGATTGGTCATATGTTTTCTTTTTAATGACATACTTTTTTGAATTGGTAACATATTTTGCCTGGTTCAAAATTTTAAAAGAATAAAAAGGCACGAAGTAAAAAAATCTTCCACCTCTGTCCCCTCCTCTTAGTTCTCACCTCTGTGCCCACCCAGTCGCCACTGTGGTTTCCTGAGCATTGTTTCTTTATGCAAAGACACACGAATATAGTCTTTGTCTTCTCCTCTTTCACACAAAAGCAGAATACAGTATTACTGGTTTTTGTTTTTTACTTTTTATTTTATTTTAAAATATGTTTTATTTGATTTCACAGAGAGGAAAGGAGAGGGAGATGGAGAAACATCGATTGGCTGCCTCCTGCATGCCCTCTACTGGGGATCGAGCCCACAACCCAGCATGTGCCCTGACTGGGAATCCAATTAGCAACCTCTTGTTGCATGTGACAATGCTCAACCAACTGAGCCGCACTGGCTGGGCTTTGCAGTTTATATTTAACTCAGCAATAGGCTTTTGGAGCTCTCTCCATATCAGTATATAGAAAGAGTCCTAATTTGTTCTATAGAATATTTTGTTTACTGGCTCCACTGTAATTAATCAGATTTCTCCTCTAGGTAAACATTGAAGTTGTTTCTAACCTTTTGCCATTACAAACAGTACTGTAATGAACAAATAGATCAATAAGCTTTAATTTCCTAAATATATAAGCCAGTGGTTCTCAACCTTCTGGCCCTTTAAATATAGTTCCTCATGTTGTGACCCAACCATAAAATTATTTTTGTTGCTACTTCATAACTGTAATGTTGCTACTGTTATGAATCGTAATGTAAATATCTGATATGCAGGATGGTCTTAGGCGATCCCTGTGAAAGGGTCGTTCGACCGCCAAAGGGGTGGCGACCCACAGGTTGAGAACCGCTGATAAGCAATGCATTACTATTAGTTTTAGCAGAAGTAACTTTCCTATAAGACCTGTGTTTTCAAATACAAACCCCATAAACTCTGCTTGAACAAATAAATGAGACCTAATTGCAATAATATTTGCAGAGAAGAATTAATGTTTCGAAACCCTCAATTCCATTTTGTACTTCCTACTGGGTGTTTTGCTGGAAGTCTGTTTACACTTATAATTAGGTTAGAGGGCATTTTTGCCCTGGAAAATGTCAGCCTAGAACAGAGCCGATCATCATGAATTCTAAATTAGTAGAATTTGGATTAGAGGAGGGTTTTGGGGGGTTTTTTTTACTTATTTTTCCAAACTGTTGTTTTAAACTCCGGGTGGAGAGCTCTGCATTCCAGATGGATTTGCAGCATTGTCAGCTTCAATTGGGATCCACAGAGCAGCATTCTTTTCCCCCAAAATAAAGATTTAAGGTACAGGGATTATTTCAAAAATCCGTTTATGTACAAATGCATTGCTTTTATGACTTCTTCCCTAACAAATTAGAATAAACGTCAGGCTAGATTTGAGGTGAATTTTTAAAAATAGGAAAAACATAGGACCTGGTAGACATTTACTGCCAAGATCAAATGTCACCATTTAATACTTATTTTTATTGTGAGGCACATGCTTTCCCCCGTCTATTTTAAGGGCAGTCAGTCAACAGCCCTCTTGCAAAGCCATAGGCATATCAATTGGTACGAAGGGAAATGCAAGGCATTGAAATCTGATTAAGACAAAACATGCAGCAAGTTAATAATAGTCAAAGTTAAGTAGTATTTACCATGTGTCAGACAGCATGCTGGGTACTTTACAGATGCTAACATATTAAAAGTTCGCAAGAATCCTACAAGATAAGTAAATTGTATCAAGTATTATCATCTCATTTTACAGACAAAGGAATTGAGGTATGAGGTGGTTCAATATTATACCCAGGGTCACACAGCTGGTAAGTGGAGAACTCAGGATTCAAATCTGATTGGCTGGCTGTAGCGATCATGCGTGTAACCAGCCACCACCCTGCTTCTTTCACGTAGTAGCATTCAGACCATAAAGCCAAAGGACTCCAGAGGAGGCAAAGACCATAGTGGTCAAGGAGCGCTTCAGAGGAGGCAAGGATTCGATAAGCAGAGAGGAGCACATCCCAAGTCTCCCCAACTCTACTGTGAGGACAGTCTTTCATTTGGTTTCTCTTGCTTTTTGCACAATCAGTATCCTAAGAATAGGAGAGCATTGCAGGAATAAAGGTACTAGGCCATAATGTGCACGGTGGAAGGCAAGGAGGCCTATTGAACTACAGTGATGCTATCCCAGAGAGGAGTAGCAAGGGTAGGCAGGTGAGGGCCAAATCACAGACACTCCAAGTGCCAGGCTAAGAATTAAGGCTGTATCGTCTGCAGCCGTGCTTCTCGTGCTCTGATGTCCACTGGAATACGTGGGGCCTGGTAAAAGCACATTCTCATTCAGTGGGTCAGAGGTGGGCCCAGGAGGCCTCATTTGTAGGAAGCTTCCATTGATGCTGATGGTGCTGTTCCAAGACCACAGCGGGAGCAGCGAGACTCTAGGCAACAGCAGGAAACCACTGTTGGAGCAAGGGGTGTAGAAGGGTGAGTTGGGGAGTGATGGGCAGAAAGGTACCAATGACGGCTCCCCTAAGCTGCAGCCAACTATTTAAAATGTATACACCTACGATATTTTAATCTAATTTATAGAACCTTTCTATGTTCCACCCGTTTCTTCCAGATGCCAAGAAGGTGTCTTAAGAAACGTTTTAGCCCAGCTGGTGTGGCTCAGTGGAGTGAGCGCCATCCCATGGACCAAGAGGTCCCAGATTCGATTCCCAGTCAGGGCACATGCCGGGTTGTGGGCTCAATCCCCAGTAGGGGGCGTGCAGGAGGCAGCCAATCAATGTATCTCTCTCATCATCGATGCTTCTATCTCTCTCTCTCCCTCTCCCTTTCTGTCTAAAAATCAATTAAAAATTTTTTCAAAAAAATAAATATTTTAAACCACCCTCTTCCTCTCTTTCATACAGAGCAAGGCTAAGGAACTGCCACTTTCTGCTGTACGTTTTATGGAAGAATTGGGCGAATGTGCCTTTGGAAAGATCTATAAGGGCCATCTCTATCTCCCAGGCATGGACCATGCTCAGTTGGTTGCTATAAAGACCTTAAAAGACTATAACAACCCCCAGCAATGGACAGACTTCCAACAGGAGGCGTCCCTGATGGCCGAGCTCCACCACCCCAATATTGTCTGCCTTCTAGGTGCTGTCACTCAGGAACAACCTGTGTGCATGCTTTTTGAGTATATGAATCAGGGGGATCTCCACGAGTTCCTCATCATGCGGTCCCCGCATTCTGACGTTGGCTGTAGCAGTGATGAAGATGGGACTGTGAGATCCAGCCTGGATCATGGAGATTTTCTGCACATTGCCATTCAGATCGCAGCTGGCATGGAATATCTGTCTAGTCACTTCTTTGTCCACAAGGACCTTGCGGCTCGCAATATTTTAATCGGAGAGCAGCTGCACGTGAAGATCTCAGACCTTGGGCTTTCCAGAGAGATATACTCCGCTGATTACTACAGGGTGCAGAGCAAATCGTTGCTGCCCATTCGCTGGATGCCCCCCGAAGCCATCCTGTATGGCAAATTCTCTTCTGATTCAGATATCTGGTCTTTTGGGGTTGTCTTGTGGGAGATTTTCAGTTTTGGACTCCAGCCCTACTATGGATTCAGTAACCAGGAAGTGATCGAAATGGTGAGAAAACGACAGCTGTTACCCTGCTCCGAAGACTGCCCACCCAGAATGTACAGCCTCATGACAGAATGCTGGAATGAGATTCCTTCTAGGAGACCAAGATTTAAAGATATTCACGTCCGGCTTCGGTCCTGGGAGGGACTCTCCAGTCACACCAGCTCCACGACTCCGTCAGGAGGAAATGCCACCACGCAGACCACCTCTCTTAGTGCCAGCCCAGTGAGTAATCTCAGTAACCCCAGATATCCCAATTATATGTTCCCAAGCCAGGGTATTACACCACAGGGCCAGATTGCTGGTTTCATTGGCCCACCAATACCTCAGAACCAGAGATTCATCCCCATCAATGGATACCCAATACCTCCTGGATATGCAGCGTTTCCAGCTGCCCACTTTCAGCCAGCAGGTCCTCCCAGAGTGATCCAGCACTGCCCACCCCCCAAGAGCCGGTCCCCGAGCAGTGCCAGTGGATCAACGAGCACTGGCCACGTGACCAGCTTGCCCTCATCAGGATCCAATCAGGAAGCAAATATTCCTTTACTACCACACATGTCGATTCCAAATCATCCCGGTGGGATGGGTATCACCGTTTTTGGCAACAAATCTCAAAAACCCTACAAAATAGACTCAAAGCAACCATCTTTGCTAGGAGACTCCAATATTCACGGACACACCGAATCTATGATTTCTGCAGAGTTATAAAATGCACAACTTGTTGTAAATGTGGTACACAGGAAAAACTAGAAAGTCGTAGAAAAGATTTATATTCAAATGTTTTTATTAAAGTCAGGTTCTCATTTAGCAGATATTGCAACAAGTACCTTCTGTGAAGTTTAAGTTGTGTCTTACCAAGCAGGGCAGACACCCAGCCGGAAAGAAACCTTGTGGGATTAACACCTCATCAGGATGTGTGCCATGACATTGGGATTCGTTTCACGTACTGAAACCTGCAAACCGGCGAAGAGGAAAAGATCCTTGTGATTAAGCATCAAACCAAAAAGGAAAGTCAGATGGTGCTTTGTGTATTTCACTTTCAGCCACCATGACCGGTCTCTCCCCAAAATGTATATACCGTAGCATTTGTCTACCTGCTGTCTTTCCTTCAGGACCTATGTTCAGGAATTGCGTTGGTTCAGTTTAAACTCTGTGCATCTTTATGTGGAAGTGATGTTCGGAAGCAATGAGGAAGCCTTAGGCCAGATTTGCAATCCCAGATGGAAATGAGCCATAAGACAAGTATAAGTGCCCCTGAAGCCTTCTACGCAGTGGGGCTTCTTTGGGAAGGTGCTGAGTGTGGCTCTTTGTGAATCTCCTCTGCTGATCATGCAGGCCTTTCCTACATTTTCTTTTCCGCCGTGTGTTTACACGGCCCTTGAAATAATATAGGGCATCAAGCGATAAGAAGGCTAGATGTGGATGTTGGAGTTGATGATTGGTTGGTAGTGGTAGTTTATTTTGTTGCATTAGAAATGAGGCACCAAAGGAAGCAGACAGGAAAAGGGCCCCTCGACCTAGATCAGCATCCATGGGTTCCCATGGGGACAGCCTTACGGGAGCTTCCCTGGACGAATACATTGGCGAATAGAGGTGTGGCTGCAGATCAGCACATCCATGCTTGCAACTTCCTGTCTATGAGTTGTTCAGTGGACTCTGGGGAAGTAGGAAACTCTATGATACACTATCTAGATAATTTAAAGTTTCTCACTTTTTTTTTCTGATCTGGAAATAGTCACAGTTTTTATGTCAGCACCAAGAGTTGCGACAATTTATTCATAGGATTAGTTGGAATCCAAAGACTATGAATGCTATTTTGTAAACTATTACAGTATTTTTAAAAAGCAAGTACCGAGTTCTCACTTCAAAGATTACCATGAACTGAATTTTTTAAACTGAATAATAAAAGCAACATGATTATTTTTACCTTAGTTAGAGGGAGGTATCGAATGTGCATCTCATGCCATTTACCTGCTAGCCATCTTTTGCCAAGTTTAGAATTCCTGTAGATGGGTTTCGAGTTCTATGTAGAAAGGAATGTTATGGTTGATTTTTCTCTTGTTAAAAAATAGCTCCTTTATTCTAAGAACAATGTCTCCAAGTCTCTTTTTTTATTATTTTACAGCTAAAGAGACTTATAAAGAGACTTTCCAGATATAGAGTAATTCCTGGAAATGATATTTGATGAGGAGAATGTAAGAGAATTAGAAGCACATTGTTGTTCAATTTAAAAAAAAAAAAATACCATTACGATGAGAAATCTAGGAAATAAATGTTTACCAGGATATGTTTCAGTTTTTCCAAACACCGAATCTTCAAATAAACAAACATGGACTTATAGGTACTGTGAACTTAAACAATTGGCTATATTCAAATTTATTCAGAGTTAAATTAAGACATTTTTGTGGCATAAATAAGCTGACTCAGAAGTTACATTTCTTAACTTTAGGTAGAGGAGAATATTTGTATCCTTTTGTTGCTATGCAACTGTTTAATGATGAAGATTCAAACCACAATTTTGTATATCATACGACAATCAATTGTTTTCCAAGAATATTTATTATTTTAAGTAAATACAATTTCAGTGAATCTTGAGTTTTTCTAGGAGTCCCTTAAAGGGAAATTAGCATTCCATGAGCCAGTAAAATGCCTACTCTGGAAAAACATTGCTATGGTAAAAAATAATAATAATTCAAGTTAGTTTTTTATAAAGAACTATAACATTTATTTTAAACATTTTATAATTACTGAAGTCATTAAGGTGAGCAAACTAAATTTCAAAACCACTTGTAATAATGTATTTTATAATAGCACTGTGATACTACATAACACAGTCCCTTTTGTATTAAAATAGTATTTTTTTCACAAACTGAAAAATATCTTTTGCTTTGTTGACAATGTTTTTTTGTAAAATGACTTTATTTTCAGATATTTTCTTTTTTGCACAAAACTATTGTTTATGGTTTGTATCACAGAAGTGAAAATATATCTTTGCATTTTTATATCTGGTCTGTTTCCTTGTTTCCTTTTGTGTATTTGTTTTTAACTCAGTAATAGATTTTCTTCAAATATATAATGGCAATATGCAGATATCTCGCCCTACCATATCTTTTCTTATTTTCACTGCATGCATTTAATCACTGTACTACTTTAATGTTTGATTTGTTATTATGGGCATTTAAAATAGACAAGCATGGAATTGTAATGACAAAAAGGCTATTTTATATTAAGGATATATGCATTTGTATTTCACACACCAGAGATGATATTAAACACTGATTATTTTATGCTGCTGTTTATTAAAAATGTTTACCGTAAAATATTATTTCCTGAATATTGCTATCATGGAAGTATTTGGGAATTTTCACACTATTTCTCCTAACGATTGCTATTTCATAGAACGAGGAACCATATTTCCTATTTACAGTATTTCATTGAAATAATATTTTTTAAAACAGGCTTTTAAAAAATACACTTGGGCATTCTTTTGCTAGTGACCATAGGTGGAAGGAAGAATCCCAATGATTTCATGAGCATATATTATCACCTACATATGGCAAAATTTTAATTTTTAAAATCAAAATAATATATTAAATAATTGCAACCAATGGAATGTAAAAATTGGATTTAAAAGTTGCGTTCTTTTCTGCCTTGATGCTTTCAGATGAACTTAGATATCAACAATCATGTCTTAGGCCCTAACTGGTTTGGCTCAATGGATAGAGCGTTGGCCTGCGGACTGAAGGGTCCCAGGTTCGATCCCAGTCAAGGGCATGTACCTTGGTTGCGGGCACATCCCCAGTAGGGAGTGTGCAGGAGGCAGCTGAATCCACGATTCTCTCTCATCAATGTTTCTAACTCTCTATCCCTCTCCCTTCCTCTCTGTAAAAAATCAATAAAATATATTTTAAATAAAACAATCATGTCTTAGGACTCTGGAGAAGAAAAAGCTGTGTACGTCTCTATTCTACTTAGATTCCAACCCTATCGATACAATAAAAGAAATGTGACCATCCAATTGTCACAGCTTACCTTTATGACTTTATTTGCCCAAAAGAAGGAGTTCCCCATCTGGCTATGAATACCCACTGTCAAGGAAAATGAGTATCATTATGAAAGTTCAAAGAACTTGTCCATTTCTTCTCTTTAATACAGAAGGGACTACAATAAAACCTTCAGGGCCTTATCCATCTGTTTTAGGTACAGCTCCTGTCACCACCTCAGCGATCAGACTCAATAAAGCAATCACTTCACATGGCAGTGAGATCCGTGTCAGGCTGGGTTTCTTCCTCTCACTTGAACTCCTCCATCTGCCTTTCACTCCCATTGCCTTCTTATGTCTCTCGAGGCTCTTCCCTCCCACCAGCCTCAATTCTTCAACTCACCTGCAAACTCGCAGCACCACCTCAGGTAAGGCCTACTACAAGTCACTAAATACTGATTTGAGAGGAGCTCTATTAACTACAAACCTTCAAAGACGATCAACTATCCCCGAGGTTCTCAAAGTGTGGTCCTCAGATGAACAGACCTTGAAGCTTGTTAGCAATGCAGATTCTCAGGCTCCACTTCAAATTCTGGGGGCCTAGCAATTTCTGCTTTAGCAAGCCCTCCGGTATTATAAAGATTGAGAATCACAGAACCACCCTAATTTAAAGGCATAGGAGTAGAGGGTGAGGAGATGGTATATATATATATATATCCAGTGCACAAAAATTTGTGCACTCAGGGGGAGTCCCTCAGCCCAGGCTGTGTCCTCTCGCAGTCTGGGACCCCTCGGGGGATGTCCACCTGCTGGCTTAGGCCCGCTCCCCAGGGGATTGGGCCTAAGCTGGCAGTCAGACATCCCTCTGGCAGCCCGTGAGCCCTTGGGGGATGTCCACTTGCCAGCAGGGAGCAGGCCTAAGCTGCAGTCGGACATCCTTAGCGCTGCTGAGGAGGCGGGAGAGGCTCCCACTACCACTGCTGTGCTGGCAGCCATCAGCCTGGGTTGTGACTGAGGAAAGTTCCCCTGTGGGAGCGCACTGACCACCAGGGGGCAGCTCCTGCATTGAGCGTCTTTCCCCTGGTGGTCAGTGTGTGTCATAGTGACCAGTCATTCCCAGACATTCTGCTGTTAGGGTTAATTTGCATATTACCCTTTTATTATATAGGATATGCATTTAATAACATTTTAGCCACTTTAGTTGCCTTAAAGGAAATCAAGTTTATTTAATCACAAATTCAGCACTAAATAATTTGTGTCAATGTTTGACAATTGGTTCCATATTTTTTGTAGTTGGTCATTTGGATAGAAAATGAACAGCACCTAATCTTTGTCAGGAATATATTCCTTGTCTAGTTCACTTAAGACCCACATTCTTGGATAATCACCAAAGTATTTTTCCTTCATATGGACAAGCTCAAAAGTGTTGGTTTCTTAATGTACCTTTTTTTACTCCTTGCACTGATGACTAACACAACTAAAAAAAAAAAACTCTCCTCTTTGTTGCCTCCTGACAAAATTAAGGTCAAGGATTAGCTGGTCTTTTTTGGGAGGAGGGAAGACCCAGCTCGCAGTGAGCATCCCCACACCCTGAGCTTCCTGTGATAACCTGGCCCAGCAGGCTGGATGCGGTCGCCTGTGGCTTGTTCCACTGTGTTCCTTGGCCAGCTGCAGCCCAGCAGTCCTCCTTGGCTGGCCCTGAGTGCTCCTCTGCTCAGGCGATGCTCCCCATTGCCTTCAGATGCTCCCCATTGCTCTGAGGAAGGTCACCAACAGGGATCTAAGAGAGGTGCTAGAATGAAGCTCAGACTTCTTAATTTATAGCTTTGTTTTTCAACCAATAGTTCAAATGCTAAAGAGGAAATGCAATATAAGAGGAGCAGGAGCAATAAAGCACACACATAAGGAAAATTTTTGTAGCCAAAATATGACCGCACCTGAGGTTTGTTACCATAAATACCAGAGTATTAGGACACTTAACTCAGAGGAAGGAGAGACTTACAAGCCATCAAAGCACTCTAGGTCAATGTAATCCTCTGGGAAATTAGACTGAGAAGACTTAAAAACATAAAGACATACAGGGAGAAGGTCTGCTGACATATTTATGACTAGTTGGATCCTAAGCACCTATGAGTCGCTTATTCACAAACAAGTACTAGAACATTTGTTGACCAGGCCTGACATGCTTTTCCATAGCAAAGTGACCAGGTTAGTAAATATTTTTATTCACGAATGGTTACAATAGGAGAGAAACTCTGCTTTAAAATTAGATGGGACATTACTTACATTTTTAAATAAGTATTTCTTTTTTATATGTATTGCTTTCAGAGAGGAAGGGGGTTAGAGATATAGAAACATGAGTGATTAGAGAGAATCATTGATTGGCTGCCTCCTGCATGCCTCACATGGGGGATTGAGCCCACAACCCAGGCATATGACCTTATTGGGAATCAAACTGTAACCTCGTGGTTCATAGGCTGATGCTCAACCATTGAGCTACACCGGCTGGGCCATTAATTATATTTTTTAAAAAAGGTAGATTTTATGCTGAACTAAAGATAATTCAGGGAATTTTCAGTTTGGAGAGAAGTGTCAGTCTTCATGGATCTGTGTTCTTGGTTGTAAATGCAAAGACACACAAATCAGCAGAAGCAGCTGCATAAAGCCCTAGACCAGTGATGGCGAACCTATGACACGCATGTCAGAGGTGACTCGTGAACTCATTTTTTTTGGTCGATTTTTCTTTGTTAAATGGCATTTAAATATATAAAATAAATATCAAAAATATAAATCTTTGTTTTACTATGGTTGCAAATATCAAAAATTTTCTATATGTGACTCAGCACCAGAGTTAAGTTAGGGTTTTTCAAAATGCTGACACGCCGAGCTCAAAAGGTTCACCATCACTACCCTAGACTAATGCTCAAGCTTGCCCAGACTTAGAGGCACTTGGAACTTGCTTCAGAAATAGATGGAGATCAGGCTCCATCCTATTGCAGATGCTCCTGCAGTCCTTGGGCCTGGGGACCATAGCTCCACTTATCCTGGGGCCCCTGCTAATACAATTCCCTAAAAGGTTTCTTTTGAGTCTGTACACATTCAAATCGCTGGAAACGAGCTGCAACTCCCCAGTGGCATAGTCTAGGTAGTTGACTGAGTCTAAGCCTAAAACCGATATTCAGGTAACATGACAGTGTAGAGCTCCATTGTACTTCCAGGATTCACTCTGGAAATAGAGTATATTCGCTGTGTTGGTCAGCTTGGCTGCAGGAATCACTCCAAAACCTCAGCCTTGCAAGAGCAAACATTTCTGTTTTTTTCTCATGTTGGTCAGCAGAGGTGGGCCTGCTGCTGTGCCTGCACCCAGGTCTCTGAGGGAGAGCTGTCCTCATGGCACAGAGAACGGGCAAGAGGCAGAACCGAAACACAGCCACTTGTGAAAGTTCTGCTCAGACGTGCTATGTCTCCCATCCTCTTCTCGCATCTCTCAGTCAACACATGTTGAAGACAAATCCAGCCATAGGGTGGGGATGTATCTCAACCTGCTGAGCAGGACTGCATGGCCCCATCACAGTCATGGGCAGGGAGGTAGAATCCTTACTGTTTTCCCCAACCTGGAAAAATCCCTGAGCGGAAAGACTTGGTAGAGCGACCCCAAAGCATCAGTACCCTTCTTTCCTCTTGCATTCAGCGCAGACATCATGAACTGGTGCTCTTTCCAACTCAATTTTAGCTTTAAAATTTTCAACATAGTGCCCTGAACAACCACCTAGTCAGTCAGAAATAGCACCAGAGAGTACATTTATCAGCCATCCCTGCACTAGAGCATTATTTGTCAAACCAGGTTGTCATCCCAATTGGGGAGATTTCTAATGATTATATCTTCTCAGGACCACCCCAGGATGGACCTTAAAAGAGAAGCCTCCTTAGCACCTATTGATTGCTTAGCATACACCACTCTGCCTAGGCTTCTGTCCTTCAAGGGACCTGGTCGAAGAGAATGGGAGCATGAAGCACGTACTTTTCAACTGCTCCAGCACAGGAGCCAGATGACCTTGTGTGAGTAAGGCCATCTCTATTTCTTTAGCCATAAAATAATGTAACTGTAGCATAGAGGTTAAGAGTAAAGGTTCTGATGTCAGATTGCCTGAGCTTAAATCTCCCCTTCACCCCTTGGCAGCCATGTGAATTGAGATAAGTTCCTGAACTGTGATTTCAACCTCTGAAAAAGGATCTACTTTAGAACTGAAGCTCATTAACATACATGAGCTAATTCATGTAACCTGCAGACAAGAGCGCCTGAAAACGTTCTCAAAAAAATGGGCTACAATTTCATAATTTTTCTCTAAGACCTGTCTTTCAGAGTCAGAGAATGTGTATAAGTATATGGGAAGTACCTGACACATAGCAAGTGCTCAGAAGGTGGTAACATTGCTATTATTCAATGTGTTTTAAACAATTTTTATAAAGGGACACATTCTTTTCTATTGTGATAAAAAATTTAGAACACAGTATATTCTATTTTTCATGTGTATATCCAGTGCTGATGCCAACCAGAGGAGGGCGGCTCAGCCCCTCAGCCATTCCCTCACCTCCCTTCCAACCAGCCCTAATAAACAAACATACACTGAGTATAAACACCTCCAAGACACATCCCTAAGCCAGTGATTTTCAACCTTTTTCATCTCATGGCACACATAAACTAATCACTAAAATTCTACCACATGCCAAAAAATATATTACATTTTTTTCCACTCTGATAAAAAAAAAATAGTAT